GTTAATTGAACTATACAGAATTGACATAAAATGGAAGCGCTTTTACATGCGAATTTTCTTTCATTTATTAGATTCCTGTGTGGTGAATTCGTGGTTACTCTATAGACGTCACATCAAACAGAAAGATGATAAATATATATCTCTTTTAGCGTTTAAAGCTCGGATAACTAAAGGATTAATGATGGCTGGAAAGGAAAATTATGGAAAAGAAGGTAAACATAATTTGAGGATTGAAAAAAAAGAAAGAAATTGAATAGTTTTCATCCAATCCCAGATATTAGATTCGATAAAATAGGGCATTGGCCCTCGGCGGCTAACAGACAAAGATGCAAGAATTGCAAAAATGGTTATACCAGATTTGAATGTTTAAAATGTAAAATATCTTTATGTTTAAATAAAAATCGCAATCGTTTTATTTCTTATCATTCAAAATAAATTGTATATTTTTTTACATATGAATATCCCAATGATGACAATTGGTAACATTTTATAATTCTACATATATACCATTTTAAAATAAAAAACGTTGAAAATGTGGTATTTGCGTCTTATTTAACTCAGTTTTAGAAAAAAAATATTTTTGTTCACAGGAAATATGTCGGGCGCGAAAGGGTTGAATTCATTTTTCTTTCCTAGAGCCCCCAAATTCTATATAAAGACCCCAAAATTTTTAAAACTCTAAATTTTCCCAGGTCAGCCTCCCCCTTATCTCCGATCTCTCTTCTGACGCTAATGACATTATCTTATGCATATTCTCAAATTGGATGTATTAAATTAGAAGAGAACTATTATATTTTAACCGATATGGTCAAATTTTATACCGAACTTGAACTGTTATTTTTATCTGATTTAAACATAAATCAAACTGATATACGTTACGGGTTTGATTCCAACTAATAAATAGTGATAAACTTAAATAAATTATTTCTGCCATCTATAAACAATCTTCAGATTCGCGTAATATTTATTGGCTTAAATCTTGATTGAGCCGTTTTTAAAAATTGGCTAAATTCAAGCCGTTTAACAACACTTAATGATTTTTCACTTCATTATAATTATATTTATCTCATAAAATTATTAATTACGTATTTCTTTTATATTTGTAAGCGGGGCTTTATGATTCTATTTATACCTAAAACACGAAGGAAATTTTAAAATGGATATTATATTATTTTAATTTCATATTTGTGTTAAATATATTAGTTTATTTATTAAATACAGAATATAATAAATCATGATAAAATTTATTACGATTTTTAATTATAGAGTAGACCGGGTTAAAACAAAAAATATTTTGCATTTTTACCATAATTTTGAAACAAAAACGAGAACAAATTATAAATTTATATGTAACCAAATACTTTTTCTACAAAATAAAAAAAGTATATCTCTACCTATACTCTTTGAGCTATGATTAATTATGTGAAGTGTTCCATTTTCGCCTTATTACTCCATACCCATAGTAAAATAGCTTAGCTTTAGAGCAGGGCCGTAGCCAGGAATTTTCAGTTAGAGGGGCCAGCTGCTTACTTAGGGAGGGGAGCACTATTTTTTAAAAATAAAACAAATAATTAAGCATTCATAGAAATTTTTTGCTATTTATATTAAAAAATTATTAATGTTATATGAATACAAAATAAACTATAATATGAACATACAAAATAATACTATAACATAATACGACGATTTTTTATTTTAAATTTTAACATAAATGAATTAAAGGATAAATTTTGTGTTAATTTTTTTTCATAAGCCATCAATACTAAATTTTGTTTACTTTGATCTAGCATCGACCCTCTAGTGCTCGATGGAACTCTCTTTAATATAGAGAAACAAGCCGCACAAGAAGCCGTTGGTACCCCAATGATGATGGCTGCTGAGTAGCATTTATACAATTCTTAAAATGCATGATGATATTTTTTTTATACATAATATTTAGGATATTTTCAAAATTATGTGTTTCTTAAACTTCTGCAGCTAATATTCCTTTAACTATTTTCTATGATATAAAGTTTCCATATTTAAGTTTAATAATAATTATTCTAATCGGGTCATTTTGTACGATATAAAAATCACTATCAAATGGGACAATGCATTAAAACTTGATAGAAGATTATAATCATCTTGCTTAAATCTATCTAAAAAATTATCAACAAATTAATCAATAATTTCATAATAATTCCATTTTAAAGAACTCCAATTGGAGTCTTTTTCGCAATCAAATTGTAATTTGGTTTCGACTAATAAATCTTGGAAATTTATAGGCATTTCACGTACGCTTGATGATTTGTGGGGAGTGAGATTAATTTTACTAAAAGTTTTTTAGCCTTTATTCTAATCAAATCAATAGAATTATTCCTTCTTATATTTTTTAAATATATTGATCATAGAATCAATACAGTTTTTAGCATCCACTTGATAAGTACCTACTGACTGTAGATACTTATATTCTTGATCTATTGTTATTAATATCTCATAAATTATAATGGCTAATATAACGTAATTTATATTAACGTATTGAGATAAAAGACCAGGGGCTTCGACAGAATCATGAGTGGGAACCTCTGAATTATGAGTTCCATTAGAAAAGTAAACTAATACTTCACCAATAGCCTCAAAATTAACATAAATGATGCGAGATGTTTCTAAATGACCAGTCCACCTCTGGTCTAAAAGTCTCTTAAGAGTATGGCCCGCATATTTACAGGATACGTTAAACCGCCTAAAAAGTATGCAATGCATTGAATAAAAAAATTAGAAATGATAACAATATTATTATACTAATTTTGAGCCATAAGATGCAACATGTGGTTGTAGCAATGTATAAAAGAACTTTTTTATTAATTTTTTTTTTGAAGTAGGGTTTGCACTCTCAATTTTGGCCAGACATAACGTTTGCACCATCATATGCCTGGTTTATCATATTCGTTTAATTAATATTTAACTCATTAAGTTGCTTTAAAATGCAATTAGTAATGCTTTAGGCAGAAAGACACTGTAAATTATTAATCCCTATTAAATTTTCTTGGACTCCAGAAAAAATATAAATAATTATGCTCAGGTTTTCACAACCTATTGCATCTTTTGTCACATCAGCCTTAAGACAAAAAAAAAGGCATCTCACTTTTGTTTTATTTATCTGAAATATAATCAAGCACCATATCTACCATAATAGATATTACTTCGTTTTAAATCTGGGTGATGTATATCGCGTATTTTTGTATATAAATTTCTTAATTTTATTTAATTCAGCTTTTTGGATGGTTTATGAAAACATTGCTATAAATAGTCCAGAAAGAATAAATTATGTTTTCTACGTTTACAGCATCCATAATTGTTGTTGAACCAGTCCCACCGAAAGGTAGCTCCTGTATGTTAAGAAATATCGTGAAATCTTGATTTAAGATCGTAAAGATTACGGTTAATTTGTTGTCATCTCACTATTTTCTTTATAATGCTAAAATATTCACCGCTGTTTTAAATAACTGGTTATATCGGGCTAAGATAATATTATTTTGTCTAAGATCTTAATCGGACCATTTTTAAAATCAAGCTGTTTAACAATACTGCACAATAATTACCAAATTTTATAAAAAATTTAATAAGAATCTTTTTTATTTTAATAAATATTTACGAATCGGTATCAATCTGATTGCTTAGATTATATATATATATCAATCCCTGAGTAATCACTATCCCGGTTTTTTATGATTTGCACCCAGATATATATCAGAGGTCTTCAAAAGATAATAATATTGTGATTGAACCATAATAAAATAATTATCATTGAAATAAGTACAATTTAAACGTTATAATTAAGCGCCTATATAATGTTATACACAAACACACATGAAAATGATAAAATATGAATGAATGATGATTTATTATTGGATAAAAATAAAACAGGATAGGAAGAAATTTACAGACAAGACATGTTTCTTGAATAAATATTTAAATTTTATTTTAAAAATATAAAAATAATCAATTACAAAATTTTTTTTAAAATTGGGGGGGGGGGGGCGGAAAATTTATGGAGGCCACTTTTGGGGGCCAAAGATTTTTTCTGGGGGCCAGGTTTAGAGCCAGATATTTTTTTAGGGGGCCTGCCCCCCCAACTCCCCACCCCCTTGGCTACGGCCCTGCTTCAGATTTGCATAAAATTGAATATAATTAATTTTTTAATGAACAAAATATTGCAATTTTGACATCCGTTTATCACTTTTATATATAAACTAAACAATAAAATATAAGAGGGTAAATTTTTTTTTATCAAAAATAACACATTTTGAGTGTGCTCATTTTAGGCATATCATATATTCAAATTTTACTTCCCCTTTGCAACTATTTTAAAATAACACAAGTTATTTATTGGTTACTTTTTGTTCAAAAGTATCTTTATGGCGCAGACGTTAATATTTGAAAATTATCTTTTTACGGCTATAATCAGACTGAACATTTTAACTTTAACAACCTTACACCAAGGGGATATTATTTATATAAATCGTTATTCGGTGTTTTAATTAAGCAGTAAGCTTCTAATAAATTTTATTTTATAATTATGACTTTAAGGAACATGTATTTCCCAAAAACTAGAGGATGATTTTTGTAATTTTTGAGCAAAAAATGGGTTTTTGGCAAAATTTGTCAAACCAGGAAAATTTTCAAAAATTGGACTAGGTAAAAATTAGATATAAGAATACATCTCACCAAATTTAAGGTATTTATTCTCAAGGGTTAAAAAGGATTTGCATTGATATTGTTACCCCGCCAATCGCTTAACTCCAATCTCCCCTACTATGTACAATGGTTTATGCTCATGGTTTGCTCGAATTTTATCCTCAGGGTTTTCTCAAATTTTGTGATCCTGTTTTCTCTGGGTTCGTGCTCAGAGCTCGTTTAGTCGCTTTTTAGACTCAAGGTCGGGGTCTTATGCAACCAACCAATTAATACACGAGCTTGTTTATAAAGACTAATCAGTTACTATTTAATTTTAACTTAAGTCTATAAGTAAAGCGTACCTCAATGGTTCCCACTACACTCTCCTCATAACAAACGGCCTTGAATTACCCTCCAGTTTGTGTTTGAATTGGCTCTCTGGACATATATATTGGTCCGACATGGGAACCAATCGCATCGAAATGGCTTCTTCTTATAATGGTGCATACAGGAAGGTTATTGTTTGGAAGAATTTGATAAATCCCAGAAGCTTAGCCATTGATCCTGAAAATGGGTTTTTTTAAACAAAATTTATTTATTCAAATTATACTTATTTATTAATTTACAATTTTAATTTATAATCTGTTTGGTTCATCATTACATTGGTTTTATTCTTAACATACTGTGATTTTTTAAATGAAAAAAAATGGGATAATTTGATTATTTCTATGCACATACTAGTATATCGACTATAGGGAATCTATAAATAACAAGTGTAAATATTTAAGAATCTTTAGGGTACAACATGTAGGAAGGTGAGAAAGAATGCTCAGCACATCTCAACCAGAAAAATAAATCTAGAAGCTCCTAAATATTAGTATTGTTAGATTTCCTTTTTAAAAGTAACAAGTTGCTTTAATAGGTTACCTTGTACAAAACTTAACTAATTACTTGTTTTAAAATGTAGCTAGTTACAGATACTCTATAGGTATCTTAATATTTGCAAAAGATAACTTTTTGTTATATGACTTACTTAGGGATCTCTTAATATGACTTTAGTTAATGTAATATATTGCAACTATATTACAAAAATTAAATCTTATATGCCTCCAATATCTCCACGAATTGCTCTATGTAAATAAACAATTATAATAGGAAACATTCATTTAACTGCTTTATTGCATTTATTTGACACCTCCAGCGAGTGGAGCTTAGTGGATTAAAAGTTTTACCCCTTAATTTTTTTGTAATTGTATAGTTAAGTGCTAATTTTTTAAAAAAATTGGTTTATACCAGGACTGCCATTCTTTTAAATAAAAAGGAGAATTTAACCATAATTTCAAAAATTATTTTATTAATTTTTACATAAGAAATATACACACCAAATATTTTAAAAATTAATACACACAGATGATTCATATTTTTTTTAGAAGATTTTACATTTATAATTAAATTGATAATTTTTGTTTAAGAATCAGGTTTCTCCAAGTATGGACAATATCCTTCCATTTCTCCAAGTTATTTCTTCTAGGTTTAATTGATAATACTTCTTTTTTAGAATAGCTCAATGCGAATGTTTTATGATGTCCATTATTTAAAGCATCCATTAATTAAATAAATAGATGATTTCCTTTAAATCCTCTGAAAGATGTACTTATAGGGCCTAAGATATTCAAACTATTTTTAGGCTTTTGTTCTTCTACCTTTTTTGGCTCTTTTTAAAATAGGAAAGAGAACAGGCAACAAGTTTTTAGTGCAATCTGTGGATGAATAATTAAGCGATTTCATCGCGTGACAGATGAATATCGTTTTAAATATTGGATAGGCAATATTATCGATTATCACAAATTATTGTTTCAAAGTGTCATTCTTTATTTTAAAATGAATATATATTTTTACTCTGTGGAATGTTTTTCACATTTGACTCTTCCATGTTTGATAATAATTTTTATATAACATACAAATTGCATTTCAACTACTTTGTTTATCTTCTCTAACCCATAAAGAGATTTAGGTATTCCTAAATTACGTAATAATATCCGAATCTTTACAACATACCAGAATATCAGTGCATTAAATCCAAAAAACATTAGTAAATTTTTAAAATTTATTTTGTATGCTAAATAAATTTTTTAATTATTCAGATCGATCTGCTGCACAGTATAAAAATCATAAAAGATATATGCCATCATGGGATAGATTTTAGAGTAATACGGAAGGGCAATTTTCTACTACATCGCTAGGGAAAAGTTGCAAGGGGATTGGCACTCTTAAAAGATTAGCTGGAAGGCAAGTTTACAAGATTAGCTGCGAAGGCAAGTTTACAAAGACGTTAACAGTAAACAACATCATATAAATTCTACGAATTCGCCAAAGATATTAATATATTTTGAATATAAGCCCAAAAAAAATTATGATGACGAAGAAATACTACGCAAGGAAAGATTTTTAAAAACTAGGTCTATACCTTGACGGAAAATTTACATCATGATTACTACAGGTCTGTATCAATTTAAAAGTAGAATGTATACGAATTCAATAGAAAGCACTAGAATATTTATCGTATAATGATGAAAATATATTCTTGGGAGAAATATTAGGATATATAAGGTGTGTTTATGATTTGAAATGATGTTTAGCCTCTATTTTAAGGAAAAATCAATAGCAAGAAAAAAAAATATATAAAGTTTTTACACCCATCCGGACCTTCTAATTTATATACATTTCCAAGTATAGACGACACTCCTTACTTGCTAAAATGTCATATCTTAGCATTAGTTTCACCGTTAACTGCTACTGGCCTTAGCTATACATTGTTTTCACAAGAAAGTATCAAATTTATGTAAAAGAAAAAAAATACTTAGACACGAAAGATGGAATACAAATTTCCCATATATTAAATTAGGGAAATTTTAATTAAATTAAATATTTAAAAATACCAAATATTTTTTATTTTCAATAAGATTATCGGCGCTATTGGCGATGCCCTATTATTAATTTTCAACTATATTCTTTTTCTCATATTTTTATTCTTTTAAAATAAGGTAAAACATAGAAATTTATAAATCAAAAATGATCATTCTCATTTCTTTTAAATTTAATAATAATAATCAATCAGCTTTTAATACATCTGTTAATTTTTATCAAAATATAAGTGCATAAATAAAATATGTAAAAAAAGAAGTTGTATATACTAGTACAACACGACCTCCATTACTAAACCCGAGTGTTAGTGATGATTAATAACCAATAATATACGAAATATAAATACACATATGACCTTTTTCACTAATTTTGTTAAACGGCTCGATGAGCCGTTTGTCAATACTATTTTTCACGTACTCTAAACTATATATTTATACATTCTGCTCATCTTGATTGTCTATAAAATTTTCGCCGAAAATACATTATCTCGAACGACATAATAAGAATTAAGAAATAAGTTGCCACTGGAATTGTCTTGTTACCATCTTTCCACAAGAAATGCGGCTTTTTTCCATAGGAAGATATCGTTGTAATCGTCTCTTGTACGAACTTCCCATAAGAAATACTCTTTACCATTTTAATTATCCTCTTCGCCTCTTAATTCGAACTTGATACGGCGCTATCAACACCTGTACTAAAGGCCGGTCACACGATCACTCTTGCCACTCCGAGCTTCGCCCATGAATATTTCAATTTCCTGACAACAATTTGTATAGTCAAACCCCCTACAATCTTGAATTACACCTATTTCGAGTATGCCTCCTAGAGGTCTGCAAAATAATTTTTTCGCAGCCCGAGCCAGACCCGAGCCCGAATTAAAATTTTTTTGTCCGAGTCCTACCAGAGCCCGAATAAAATTTTACAATTTAAGTTTGAATATTATAATAATCAAAAAATATGTGTATTTATTCATTGCCATCTTAGATAAAAGTTTATTTGACGGCCATAATCTAATTAAGATATATATTGAGTTGCAATATATTTAATTTGTAAAAAATAAAAAAAAGTTAAAATACAATCGAATTTTAAAATTATTCATATATTTGTAATTAGCACATCAACCCTTTTTCATATATGCACTCTATTTCGGAAATAATTTATTGCATATACCATTAGCAATATCTAAATTTCTAGGAATTGTCGTGGGATTTGGAATGATGCAACATCAATATTTCCATATATTGAGCCAATTTTGGCAAAATATTGACAACTACCAACAAAGCCTTCCCCATGAATTACATCAAATGATCTCAAATCATGTTTACAAAACATGGTGAGCCCCTTTGTGCACTCTTTTTTCAATTTGACACAACTTTTGAGTATAGCGGTTCCTTCACTCATACCCTATTACAGGGGGTCCCTTTCATCTCACATCGGCTCTATTTCCTTCCAACGTCCTCACTTGCGTCGTTAACCCTATCACCTATTCGTACTCCACTCACTTTAACTAAGCGTTCACACTAGTATATATATTTTATTATTAAAGTAAACAGTCTATGTATATACGCTGCCACAGTTGTGTAGTCTTTGGTACTAAAGCATTTTTCTCTCTTTATGTGGCATATTCCCCCAAGAATTACATATAACACAACTCTGGCTTATTTTTTCAATCTCTTTATATATTCCGGACCACCACACATATTATCCTTCCCATTACATCATCCTTTCTATACACTGATTACCCGTATGAATCATCGCCATCACCGCATCCCTTAATTTTAAGGATACTCTTTCTCGATTTCCTCTTATTATATATTCGTCTACTATCACCAATTCTTTCTCTAAATTAAACTTTGTTCATTCTTTTCCTCGTCTCTACGTTTCCTATCTCTTCCATATCTTTCCCGGTTCCATTTCCAGATTAAACATCTGACAAATAGTATTCCTGTCCTCGCCTATATTTCACTTGTACATCGAAATCTGAAGTCGGGGCAGGCGATAGTAACAACTCCTTATTATTCTTTTTAAAGAGAAGCATTAACTGTTGTATTTCGCATAAATAGCAAATCTACACCGAATCAAGTATTCTCTGAGCTTTCCCAGCCCAAATATGACGGCCAGATCTCATAAGCGAATATCTTGTTCCTGCCGCTTTAAAAATTCTTTGGAAACTAAACAAAATTGGTTCCAACTTATTTATACATTGTAAAAAAGCTTCATCTACAAATTCACTGTTAACAACACTTCCAGATCGTGGTTAAAGCATACTAAAATAGATATCCTTCCGATTCTACTTTTATCTTTTCAAATGCCTCCTGTTCATATTTATACAACGGCACCGCTATCTGTTTAAAACCTTTCGCAAACCGAGGATTATAATTCATCATTCCTAGAAAGGCCTGCACTCTCCCTTTATTATTCGACTCATACTGGTTATTCCTGCTATATTCTTATCCAATGGCCCACCTCTCTCCCAATAATTTTGTATCCTAGATACACCACCTGCGTTACACCCAACACATTTATCGTCATTCCCCCAAATTCCTTTTACTTTAATTATTTGGAATACCTCCTATAATCTCTGTATGCTTCTCAGGAGTCACCCCCGTTACCAATACATCATTCATGTAGTAAATGATTCCATCCAAACCTTGAAATACCATTTCGTTGAAAAATTGCGGCCAATGCATTAAATCCAAAAGTAATATACAAAAATACAACCCTTTACTTTCGAAAAATACACACAACCCTTAAAATTGGCCAATTACTTTTTAATTTTTGGAAACGAATATTTTACCTCCAAAATCCATTAATTTAGCTTGACCCGGAACCCGCGTATAATATGAGTTTTCCTTGGCTTTCTTCGCCGGCACCATCGGAATTGTCCATTCACTATTCTACATCACACACGATACCTTTTTATACCCATTGATCCATTTTCACTTCTTTTCGTCACTCGAACAGTACTCCTTGCAACTCACAAAATTTTGTCACACTGTCGTCCTTTAATTTAATGTCCACTTCATAATCTTTGAGTAACCCCAAATCTTAATCGAATCTTCTGATAATTTTCTACTAATTTTTGTACTCCTTCTTATACTCTGATCATTCTTAATTCTACCTCTTTATTTTATAATTCCGCTTATTTCCATCGATCCGGCTTTATCATTTCCTTTTCAACTCCTCGAATACTCTTTTTTTCCCACACTAACTTTTCATTTAATAATTCTCCACCGTCCCTGTTTCTTGTAACTATTTCACCATTTCGCGTCCCCTTATATAAAATTTTTTATCACAAAATCATTTCCCTTCTCAATCTTACCTTTCTCCTAAAATTCTTACATTTTTTAAAAAAAAACTCCGATTTTTCCAATGCAGGTACCCTCGATTTCTCTCTTAGAATTTCCTTCGATTTTTCCCTCGAATACCCTCTATTTCTCCTAGAAGTTCCCCTATTTCTACTATAGAGCCCGCCCAATTTCTCAGCTAAAATTACCCCCTATGACATTTAGTCGCAAATTCTTATTCTCACGCCATATGTCCTTTTCGACATGTAAAACACTCCATGTTTCCTTCTCCATTTCCTTTTAAATTAGGCACAATAATTCCTTCAATTCTTTTACTTTCAATATTTCGCTAATTTTGAGCATTTTTATCCATTACTCTCTGCTTAAAACCCCCTCTGATATTATAATTGCACGAATTACATTAATCTCTATTGTGACTAAATCGTCCAAAACTCACATCGTTATTTTTATTGTTTTCCTGTACAATACATGATATATGACTATATTTGTCACATTCGAAACATTTCGTTTCCAGACAATCTCTGACCATATGGCTTTATCGTTCGTAATTATAATAATCTGGAATCAAAACTTGGTCTCACCTCCATTCGCCTTCCTCGCGAATATTCTCTCGGCCTATATAGAGTCACAACATTAGATTATTATTCAAAACTTTTAACCGGTCACCACTTTTTGTATATTTATCCTTTCATTACTATTCAATCTTCTGACATCACTATCGGTCTATCCTTTATTCCACGTTACCTTGCCCATTACTGTCAAAAATTGAATTGTTTTGCTTAAAGATTATGACTTATTGCCATCTAAATATTGATAATTTTTATAAAAAAAATAACTGACAAAAATTATACTAATTTTAAGATACATATAACACTATCACTTTAGAAATACGGCAACATTACCTAATTATGGAGACGGATACAATAAACTATTGTGTAGTTGTCGACGAAATTTTACACCTAATGAACTGCTTAGGTAGATTTAGACATAAAGAGAATAACAGAACTCACGATGCATACAAGAAACTAAAACATATCTGCAAGTTCTCACTCAGGAAGTTACTAACACTCCACAGGAAATATATTTTTAAAGACCCCGAAGAACAAGCTATTTTCCAGAACCATATTCATAATAACTTATATATAACAGCCAGCCCTTCCATTAATCCTTCCATTTCTCTCTGGAGGAAATTAAAAGCTATGAAAAAATTAAAGAGTAACAAAACCTGATCTTGATGGCATCAGAAGCAAGAAGTAAAGACTGCTTATGACGAACATTTTAATATATACTAGCCATCTTTACCTAAATATAGGAATCAGACAAGACTCCATAGGAGTATAGTAGATCAATAATATTTAACTACAAATTTTTAGCAATTACAGAGCGATCTATCTTACCTAAACATTTTTCAAGATTTAGTGGTGCTTTTAAAAGATTGGATACTAAACTTTGCTAATGACCTATTATTTAACATTTGTGCTTACAGTCTCAGAAAAACATCTTAGAGCCAACCCTCTTCCCACTTCTTCAAAAGTCTTACAGATATAAATGACCAATCGTCTTCACCTTTGGGGACCTCAGGAAAGCCTTTAACAAGATCAGGCACCACGCTATTGGAATAATAAAGTGGCATTAACTATAACAATTAAAATCCTAAAATACTATTATTATAATTCTTATATCAAATTTCAGATATGATAGACACATTCATCTGTTTGCAAGGTCAAGAGTGTTAAGCAAGTCTATATGCTCTCTACAACATTTTATTCAACTTAACAAAAACTAAGATTATTAAGAAACCATGAGTACTTTAAATCTCCTTGAATTATCATTTCAAAACAACGTAGGCCTACATCCAAAAATAATTTCCTATGTTTTGCACCAAATCAAAAGAAATAATCGATCCTCTGATCATTCTACGTACCCACTGCAAAAAAGCAGACATGGACATTTCAATAAAACCATGATAATGCCCACTCCTCAAGCCACAAATTGTCAACTTGCATTGACTATAACTTGTTAAAGTTAATAACTAGTTTCAAATATCTGGATCTAATAATAGACAACATAGGCAATCGAGGCAAGGTTAAGGGAGGCAAGAATTACTTTCAACTTACCATAAATTAGGACACAGAGATCACCATCATAACTGAATTGCGAATATTCCATATAACAGTTGTCTCGGTTCTCCTTTAGATTCCATACCAAATCGATAACTTTTCTGCCCTATCTTTTTAATTTTGATAGCAAGCATTGAATTCAAGATTTTAGCCTCCTAGTCAAAAGTATCAAAAATGACCTTTTTCAAATGATACAATTTTTAAAAATTGAGATAATTTAATAAATAATGCTAAAAATAAAATTATATATCTGATTTTGTGACAATATTTAGTATAGGATTTTTTTAAAAATATTAATGTTGAGATTTTTATTTACCTTATAAATTTTAAACCTTAAAGCTCTAGGTGTTTCGCTTTTTGAATTTCTTTGAATTTAATATTTTATTTATATCTATTGCATTTAAACTAAAGACACCCATAGTTTTTTTTAGCTATTGCGATTTAAAAAAAAGAAGAAAATTTGAAATTATTTATTTTTTTGAATATTTTCCATTTTATTTTTTCATGATATGAATGCTGGAAAATCGTTTAAAAATGGGAAAAATATTAAAAAAAGCATTAATTTATTAGGAGCGGCGCAATCTATTTTTCCACTAATTAAAATAACCACATGGTTTTCCCAAGTTTAAATTTATTTTTACAATAAGTGAATAAAATAATAAATTTTAAGAAATTCCGATAACGAAATACCCAGAGCTTACACGTTCAAATTTATAACGTAAATAAAAACCGTATCATTATTATTTTATAAAAATTCTTAATATTTAGGAGCTACAAAATGACATATATTTTTATTTTCAACATCATTATTTTTATACTAATCTCATTTTAAAAATGCATAAGACCTTTTTTGGCACCTTTGGAAATGATATCTCGGAAACTAAGCTAAAATTTTGGATTCGCTAATGATGTTTTCTCAGTATGCAAATTTATCAATTAAAAAGGTCAATTGATTTTATATGGAATTGCCCTTTACTTTAGTTTGAGATATAACTAAAATTATACAATTCTTCGTTAATCGATATCTCTGACTCAACGGCTTCGATTACCCCATGATAATCTCGTATACTGTACTTTCCAAATCTTAACATGTTCCAGCTCTTTGGACACATAATATTACATTTCTGACGGAACATGGTACACAAAGTACATAGAGACAGTCATGTTAAAAGCTACGATAAATACGAAACATATTGGCTAAACAATAGGATCAACGATGTTTTAAGCTATAACCTGAATATTAATCTATTCATATAGCTAGATAATAAAAATACTATTAAAATTTGAATCTAAATATATTAACTAGCAAAACCCCATTCTCTAAACACTCCCTAATCATCACATTCATATCTACGCACATTTTACAAATCTTATTTTAATTTACTTTAGGCTAGCTACATAGGTTGGTGATATCAATTATTATATCTTTCTAAAAAAATATGATTTATTTTATCTATTCAAAAATCCACTACGATTTATCTTTCTAGCTTGCGATAAAATATTTTAAATTTATAACCTTAATTAAGATGTAGAAAAGCATTTTTTTTAAAACATTATGTACAATTATTTTATTTATCGAATGTTTCCATAGGCGTATCTACTGGAGCTCTTGGGGCCCGGAACCCAAAATCGAAACGTCGTTTTTAGATGGAAGCCATAGAGTAGTTTTGATAAAAGGTTATTCTACGAGTTTCCACGCTCCCTTTCACGAATTCAAATATCCCAATAATATGTCTAAGTAATCTTTCATAAATTATTCTTCAGGAAATAGTGAGAGGTTAGCACAATTTTAGCATATAATTTATTCTTTATTAATTTGCTGATTTTGTGGGAATAAGAATTTACTATTAGCCTATAAAAAACGAAATTCCAATTTACATAAGGGTGATTTATGGGTTGTAATTGACTATACGTTTGAAAGCGAAATTCTAAATCGATTTAAAGCTCATGATCTACTTTAAAAAAGATTCATTTGTATTTTCAAATTAAAACTTGATAATTTTCAAATCGAATACATCCTTCTCTTTGCTACATTTTCCATTCTTTTATATTTCCTCTTTTCATTCGACTGATTAATACTTTCAATTAACATTCTTATATGTGTTTTTCATATTTTTTTTACATTATACAGTCAACATCCGACCATTGCCTATGGTTATATGTCAAGTAGAGCTAACGCTTTAACTATTGATTACCGGCCCCAAGGTTTCAACACGCTGTATTGGGTCGACGTCGATAATAGAGCTATATTAAGCACCACTTTGCCCAAGATTATCTTGGATTATCCTTTTAAAACTGATAATATGAGAGTTAAAATAGTTTTCAATGGGTCCATCAATGATACTTACCCTTTTGGGCTAGCACTCCATGCGGTCTCCACCAACCGATTGACCTCAAATAATGAGAGTGAGACGGCGTTATATTGGTCTGACTGGAAGTCTAGGTCTATTCATAGTATGACTATGTTTCGTAATAATCAAAATTATGACATTATTCGCAAGAAGGAGCACACTTTTTTCGAGGGACTTGATTACGTTGTGGATTTAAAAGTGTTTCACTCCTCCAGACAACTGAGTTAAATTTTGAATGGAATACTTTATTATTTAACTTCTTTTTTTATTTCTTTGCTCGGAGTATTATTCCTTATATTTTTGCCTTATCAATGAAAAATTTCGAAAATTCATATCTAATATGCCTTTTATGAGCTGGAATCAAAATTTTATACTCCTATTTTAAATAATTACTATTTTAAAAAGTAAAATCAAAATTATATCGCATCTAGACGCGTAACAGTCTCTAAAATTTTCAATCATTGTTTTTTTAAATATCATTATAACAGAGTTGTTAACATATCACAATATTGTATCGACGATACTGTATTTGATATGTTTATCTGGTATTGACAATACTTTTGGCATTTCTTTGCATCATAATCAGATATCGGTACATTTTTTTTCATGCATAGGGATTGAAATTTAATTTAATTTATTTTACATTTAAATTAAAATAAAAAATATTCAATTTTATATGGTGAAAGTCAACAGTCTAGATTTTTCTTTTGGACTTAACGATCACGGTTTGGTCTTTAGAAACAGTTTCATTCGGTTTTTGCAATCGGTCTTCACCTCGTTTCTGTATTTGTCAATTTATATATAATCGATTCAATCATCTAGTTCCTTATTAACAATTTTTTTCCATAGCATAGACTTAGTACAGGATGATATTTTTATCATTTATGGGACATGATAGCAAATTTTTAATCTATTTAATGTAACTCTCTATATTAATATAGATTTACGAGCAGTAGGCCTGCCAAGAATGACGGGGAATCAGTATACTCCCTTTAATTTGATGATGAATGAGTCAGAATTATCAGACATTTTATTAGATATGTTGATGGATGAATCAGAAAAATGAAGGTAAATTTCTAAATCATAGCTTCAAAAATGATGGCGAATAGTAATTTTATCCTTAATTTGATGATAGATGTTTCCGAATTTCCCTTTTATTTGATGATGGATAAATCAACCTAAATCAGAAAATTAAAGGGGAAATTTCTGACTCTAATATCATCATAAAAAGAAGTAGGGGTGTATCGATACCAATTTTTGGAGGCCGATCCGATATTCCCGATATCAAATTGATATGGGCCGGTTACCGATCCGATATCATATCTAATTTTGTATTCTGTAAAGATACCAATGGTTTTAATTTTTAATATACTTTTTATTTGTATAACATCTATAATTTAACTATACCATAACTTATTCATTTAAATATATTATAATGATCAGTTATAGTTTATGTTCAATTCAATTGCAATTCTAAAAGTATATAAAATATTTTTATTGTTGAATCACTTTTATATAATAAGTAATAACATTAATCTATATACATAATAAGTGATAAACAAATATATTATGAAATTTGAAATAAATATTTAAAATAATATTTAACATTAATATATCGAAGATTTTCTTTTTAGAAATACCAAAATTTCCAATTTATCAGAGGTATGCCTGCGGCGATGGTAACTGTCAATATCACCAGCTTCATTAAAAACAGATTCTGAAAAAATTATCGCCCACTTTTATAAACAGAATGCGCAAAAAAATAACAATATGGCAGAATGTTTATTGATTAATTATTATTATTATTAAAAACATAAACATAAAAATGGATTTCGATTTTATTTATAAAAATAAATGATTTTAGATATAACTTTTTTAAAAATTTTATAACATTTTATTTTTGTTAAAATGGCCATTTTATATCGCACCGGATTGGTAAATTTTATAATATTGGCCTATAACCGATATTTAAAATGATTGAAATATCGGTCCTATCCGATCCGGTAAAAAATATCGGTACATCCCTATAAAGAAGAAATAAAAATTTGATTTCCTATCATTCTTGACAGGCAAAATGGAAGATAAATAAACCAAGACATCTAAAAGAATATAGACATTCATTGTTTGATGAAGATAAGTGAGATAATTGATATTGAAAGCTGCATGTGAGAAATATATAATATTTCAGATAGGTTTCATTTAATCTGATTTTAGCAAATTATTTGACCTCTTTATAAGTATTAGTTTAATCACCAAAGTGGTAAAATATTTATCACTTCAACTGATAACATTTACATTCAAACTTTAAATTTTTATATCTTAAGTCTTTATACTTAGTCCAGACATCAATGATATATTATCTAATAGATCACAATTTTAATTTTTCAAAAATTTTAGACAGTAGTACAATTATTTCAATTATCAAATTTCTTGAGTTATATAAATTTTAAGTATCCCATTTCCTCTTCACCAAACAATGAATATATTTATTCTAGTTATAAAACAGAAATTTTGAATTTTACGTGAAAGAAATGTGATCTCGCAGGTAACCTAGCTTTTATGTCTGGACTAAGTATAAAGGATCAAGACACAAAAATTTCAAATGCTGAATGTAAATTTTATAAGTTGAAGGCAGAAATATATTACAACTTTTGATATATAAACTAATCCATACATAGGCATAGCCAGGGGTGGGCAAGGGGAAATCCCCCCTTCTGAAATTTATCACTTTTTGTGAATATCATTTTAAGCTAATAAAAAATATAATGTTGTTAAACGGCTCGATTTGAGCCGATTTTTAAAAACGGCTAACTCAGTATTTTAGCCAGAAAAATATTGCCCAAGCCTCGAGATTTTCCTAATAAATGTCCAAACCTTTGTGTCATCTATGAGCAAAATCTTTATGCTTGCGTAATATTTTATTGAATAAAACATTGAGTTAGCCGTTTATCGGCTCAAATCGAGCCGTTTAACAACACTAAAAAATTATCATCCTTAGTCTTCTCCCCACTCCCTGTCCCCCAAAAATGTATGCATATATCTTAAATAATAATTTGAAAGAAATAGTATAAAAGTTAATATATTTTAAACTAAAACTATTCATCATAATTCATACTTTTTTGGAAAAATGCATTTATATATAAAAAAAGTGAAATCAAAAATGTTTTTTAAGAAAATAAATATAAGCCAAAGATAAGTCTACCATAAAATTACGAAATAATATAATATATCAAATATAATTTTTTATAAAGTGAGTAACTTTAATTTATTTATTTTAATAAAAGTAAAATATAATTATAAAACAATTGATAAAATTAAATTATATATTAAATAAATAAATTAATGCACAATACAAACAATGGAATATTATATGTCCTAGATTTTTATCAATTATCATATGACTATCAATTAATTTTTACCTTTTACAGAAGGCTATAAAATATTGATAAGGACATCAGAAAATATCTTTTAAAGAATGTAAATGATAAAAATAATTCTATATATCAGTAGGGTCAATATGTAATAAGGTACATCCTGTGTGGAATGAATAATATGAAGATTAATTTTAATATTATTTTTATTTAAAGTAAATAGATGGCGTTAAATAATTGAATGCAAATTGTTGCTTACATTTATTATCAAAAACATTGATTAGTAAAGTTTATTAAAATGTTAACTAAATTTCATAAATGTCAAATATGTCTGTTAAAGTGGAATTTTACCTTACATTTTGTAACCAATTCTATATAATAGCGGAATATGAACTATATATCTATTTACTTTTTATAAAGAAATTTCTTATACTTGTTTGGAATAAATTATTACCATGCTTTTGTATTAATGTATATATAAGTAATTTATTATATTTTATTTAAACTAATAAAAATATATTTCATATTTGTTCCAGGCTTATTTTTTTATTATTAAAATTAATCTCTTATCTTGTAAAAATATTTTCTGACTATCCCCCCTTAGGAAAATCTCGGCAACGCCTATGATCCATATAAAGAAGTCAAATAATTTAGCTAAAATAAAATTAAAATTATCTGAAATATCATATTTCTCACTTGCAGCTTTCAAATTCCAGTATCACAGTTCGTCTTCATCAAACAATGAATACCTATATTCTTCTAAACTATAAATCAAATTTTACTAATTATTATCATTGTGGGGATATTTTTTATAATATTTTCTATATTCTTTTTTCTTTTCCCTATGCAATTTTTTTATAAACTATCATCTGCATTTCGGGATAATTTATAAATTTTATGAGCAGTATTTGGGTTTAAAGATCACCATTCAATCTCAGTATGAATATCTTATTGCCCAATTTTAATCTAACTTCATTAAATTTTATAAGCAGTATATATATAATATTAATTATTTATTCAATCTTTAAAATTATTTATAATATGAAAAATAAATAACTCATAAGAACTCGTAAGGGCATAGTGATAAAGCGATGGCAAATATTTAGTCGTACTTAGTTGCGAGTTCGATTCTACCTCGTTGCTTGTTGAATTTTTCACAAAATGTGACAATTCTTATGTAACACGGCTTTTATTATATAAAGAATTTATTGTTCCCTTTGGCGTCAACTTTTTAATTATGGGGTTTCTATTATTTTTAAAAGTTATTTATTTTATTAAGTATTCTTCTTCGCCGTTTGGTGGCTCTTTTCCAAGTTTATCTGGATTGGCCTTTTTCCATTCTAATCACCTTTCGCCATTTTACGCCGTCTGGCAACGCCCCGGGTTAGACCTAATCTTTTATGTCATTATCTAGTACCTTCATCCGGCATGCCTGGTCTGTCGTTAGGTCTTGTTCCCTTTATTTCAAAATCATCTATTCAATCATTTGCCTTCCATTCAACATGTCTAAACCATCTTATTGCCATGACATCACCTATTGCTTCTATCTCAATCCTTTTTCTCAGTTCCTGATTTGTTTTTTTCTCTTAATCTTCTCCGTTCTTTCTAATTTGGATTCGAGAGTTAGCTATGTGCTGCCACTTCATACACTTCTCACACAACTTGCATAAATTTTTTCCTTCAAAGCTAGAGATACATTTTTATCTGTTAAAACTAAAGACATCTCTTTAAATTTCTTTAAAGCATATATTAACGCTTGCCTTCTGCAAAATTACCTTTACACCACTACACCATTTGTGATCCCATTTACGACAGCAGGTACAATTGATGAGGTTTCTAGCAACATATTTCTCACATACACCATATGGCCACATGCCTGACTCCACGATCTTTTCTAAACCTACCTTCACACATTTCTTTTGTCTTTTCTATATTCATTTTTATTCCTCTCCCATAACCCTTTTACATCTAACTATTTTAAACTACAATTCTGTCTTACTTTATGCTATCACTACCAAGTCGTCGGCAAACAGTATTTACCATGATAGTTTTTTACGAGTCCCTCTAGCCTATCCATTACTATAATAAAAAGTAATGGGCCTACATTTACCTTGAAACTATCACTATCCCTATAATTTGTTCGAACCACCGTTCTTAGATCATACATCACCATCAATGTAGTTATTAGCTGTTCTTTAACGCCGGATTTCCTTAGGACCTTTCACGATTTATGAATGCTAATTCCCCTTCTCTTAATATCTTTCCTGCATTTGCACTACTAAAATAGCATCAGTAGTACCCATCCTAAGTCTAAAACTGAGCTGTATATCAGGTCCCTTGTTCTCGTTTCTAAAACTCTCTAATGCATGCAAAAGTTTAATTGCTTTGTATGATCCACAATCTAGAGGATTGCCCTTCCACTTTGTATATCATTATCACCCTTTTCCGCTATCTGGAGTCGTAACTTCAGGAATAACCAGGTTGTACGCAGGTGAAGCACTCTATTCCCAAATATTCAGATGCCAGAAATATTTCTGTCTCCACTCTCTTAGGCCCCGCTGCTTTATCCTTCTTCATACGCTAAGTTTAATAAATATTTTTCATCTATATTTAAAATACAAAATAAAAAAATTTAAGGGTATTATAATATATATTTATAGATATTCAAAACAAAAATATTAATCGTTTCTGACTACGATCCAGTTCGTTATATTGTTGTCCGGTTCTATTAATTTTTTGCTTAGTGGTTACTTCAATAAAAATCGGTTTTCCAGACCGAACCTAGCTGGACCATGACCTTCACCAATTTTACATAATACATGAAATTTTATATAAATTAATAATAATTTCTTATTTTGATAAAATTTTACAAATTATTTCTTCTTTATTAAGATTTATTGCGATGTAAGATGATGAATTTATAAGTCGAGTGCCCCCATATTTTTGGAAGCAAAGAAAGAAGAGCTAATACAAATAATATTTAAAGAATTTTGGTTTTCAAGTTAATCGAAGCTACTGAAATTTAAAAAAAAACATTCATTTCTTGATAAGTAAAATTGAATTTGATTACAAAACCTTGAGAATATTTTTTGCACTGATTTGGGATTTTGGTATTTTAATAATTTTCAAAATATTATACTATTCTTTCTAGAACAGTAAAAACCTATTCGAAAGTTTAAATATCTTCTTTATAAAAACTTGATATTTTATTGTTAAAATATAAAAAACCCGTAATATATACATTTTTCTGTTCCGTCATTCCTACCAAGAAATATGTTTATTTTTAGTTAACATAAGTGTTCCTACAAAATAGAATTTTATTTATTAATCTTGTAAAATTATTCATTGAAATTTAGAACTTTTTTTATATAATATTAATTTTTTGACAAACCACTTAAATTATTTTAAATTAGAATCTTAAAATCTGATATTATAATACTAAATGAATGTTGGCCATATTGTTTCGTGAGATTTGGAATCAAATAGAAAAATGAACCATTATAAATATTATTTATAATTATGAAAATAAATTAAATTTAAAGTTTCACATTATTTTTCCCGTTCCATTCTTGTTTCACAATTTCGCTCCGTTCCCTGAACATTTCCAGGATATTTCATTCCATGTCCTTAATAATAAAATATGCGTATTTTATATAAATGTATTTTTTATTCAATAAAAATCTTACAACAAAAAGAGTATGTATCTGAAATGTATCGTTTTTATACAGAATTTTTTTTTATATAAAGTCTTCACTTATATCAACTTTATAGAATTTTTATTGGGTTTGATGCATTATAAAGTAATGTTGACAACTCTTCGCAAATCATTTAATACGCTTCATTTTTTTAATATGACTTTTTTTTATATCCCTTTGATAATAATAATTTTTTAGCTTCTAAAAAGAATCCCTGTTCTATTTTGAAACACAAAACGCCTTGTCACCATATATGCATAATGTTACCACCGTCTGTTATAAACTCGGATTCATTCGATTATAAATGCACATGTTCAACCCATTATAAATTGGACCCACGAGACAATTCGACTTGTTTACGTATAATTAAAAGAATCTATTTTGCAAATATATGAACTAAAACATCTTAATTAAGAACATATAAATAACATTTAAATTTTTCTCCTGCTACTTCTTATTGTGGTACTTGATTTTTAATCTTAGTATTCAATTAGGGAAAAGGAAAGTATTGTTAAACGGTTGATCCGAGATGACTTAATCGCGAATAGAATTTCTAGTTGAAAAATTAACTTCACTTTAGCTGACTGGCAATATATTTTTAATAAAGTTCTTTAAAAAGGGTCAGCCCAATATTTTATTTTAAACAAGTTTTACTTCGCTCGTTTTTTAATCTAATTACCCACTGATCCGACTAGCCGATCCAGGCTGGTGGTCTAATGAGGTTCGAGCATGCGGCCAGGCAAGATTATAGCACATATATATATTTATAGGAAGTAAATCAAAAATACATAATTTTGCTTGAACTTGAATTGCCAATAACTTATTGATTGTGTATTTAATTAACATTTAGATAAAAATAGTTAATAATTTGAGCACGGCTCGAATCAACTCATGTAGTGTCAGGAGCCTGATTTGTGAGTTCACTCATGCGTGACCAAACTAATTTATAAACTAGACTTGAGTCACAACTAAGTCGATTCGCATAGCCGTTTAACAAAACTATACTTAATATAAAAAAATTACAGCCATTATTATATGTCATTAAAAACAAATAAGCCATATATTAATGATTAAAATATTTTTTATTCTTTATAATTTATTAAAAGTTTCTATTATAATATTTAAAACACTATAAAATTAAAATACTGATAAAATAAAATACAATTTCATGTTACCAAAAAGGTATCATAATTATATCTAAAAATTTCTATTTAATTTTTTTGACGTATATATAAAAATTCTTTGACCGTTTGTAAGATTGGATTTTGGTGCCAAAATGTTATTCAACTTATAATTCAAACTTTATATTATAGAAACAATAAGTCACTCACACTACTATTCTACTTACATTATTCAATGTAAAAAAATAGTTAAAAGCTAAGTAATATGTAATTTAGATATCGCAATAACAATTTTAATCTATAAAACTTTATAGAAAATTAAAAATATTATTGTTCGAATAATAAATCCTTTTTTTACTGTTCGAATAATATTCGAAATTGAAGTTTAATTATTCAAATACAAATTATAACGAATTGAAAAAGATTCGAATATTTAACATTCGTTTTGGGAGGACTATTAATGGCTAAATAAATTTTTTCATGCGTTAACGTTGGGATTAAATAGGAAAACAAAAAAAATAAAACTGAAATAATATTCTATTTATTATTTAAATAACCCTACCTAACCTCACGAGGCTTAAAATGATATTATAAAATCCAAAAAGAATTTTATATAAATTCAATGTTTATTTTTTTTCTTACTCTAAAAAGGGAATGGTATTTTTTGTTTCAAAATATTATCAATAACATTTGTTTAAAATTTTTATAAAGATATAAATTTTTTTATAAAATGGCATAATAAGATATTAATCAACATGACTTAAGGAAATTATGAAAAATAAATAGAATCCTAATTTAATTTCGGAATAATAATTTGAAAATAAATGGATGCCAAAAAATGAATGATTTATTTAGTACCATATTTTACTTATTAACATTTTTTAATTTATCATTAAATTGCTGCTTAGCACCCGACACTTTTCTGCTCCTTACCCATCGATCCTGGATATCTAGGATAGTTTTGGAACCTAATGAACCCCTAGATATGATTTTGCCCACCAATAATATTCTCAATGATGAATTCCACAAGAAACTAAATACCGAAGAGGAAAACATAAATTCGATAGCTTACGATTTGAGAGATAGCAAGGTTTTGTGGGTTCAAGCTCGAAGCATTTGGAGGAAAAAGGACAACTTTTTGGGGGTTTATTTTTTCGTTAATATTATGTTACCGATATTCTGCCTCTTCGTGCATTATATGGAATGTAATATCTAATATTTTTTAGAGTTGTTTGAAAATAGTCATTATTTTAAATAGTCTGTAATATATTTCTGTCAATCAGATTTTTCAAATTTTAAAAAACGCAGAAAATAAATGATTAAAGTTGAAAATAGAAATATACATTTCTGAGTTCATTTTTAAATTTAAATATCTTATTTTGCCGAAATTATATGCATTATCTGTAATATACCTATTTTATAATTCATGAATTAACTGATAATGTATTGTATGATTACTCACATTATCTGTAATTACAAAGCATTCATAAACGGAAAAATCCCAATCAAAAAAGGAAAAGTATCAATCATAAAAGGAAAATATCCAATTAAAAAAGGAAAAGTACCGAAGTCTGTCCATCAAAAAAGGATAAGTCCCAGAATCTTAGAAAAAGTTAGATAAAAAAAGGAAAAGGTCCAATCAAATAAGAAAAAATGTCAAACAAAAAAAGGAAAAGTGTCACACAAAAAAAGGAAAAGTGTCAAACAAAAAAAAGAAAAGGTCCAAATCAAATAAGAAAAAGTGCCAATCAAAAAAGGAAAAGTTTCAATCAAAGGTAATCTTTTTACATATTTTTTTTAAAAAAATTTCTTGTCAAGTATATTCTTTAATTTTTCCTTTTTATTTTGTTTTCTTTTTGCGATCTCTTCAAGTCATTTTTAATCTCTTTATTTTTATTAATCTTGCTCAATTTTTTCTTCTTCTAATTTTAATCCTTTTTCTCTTTTTAAAAGATAATTTATTTATTTTTCATGTTGTTTTCTTCAATTCTTTATTTTTATCAAACAATTCTTTTTCTTATATTTTTAATTTTTATATTATTTCACTTAATTTTTATTTCTCTTTGGCAATCAATTTTTTTTTTATTAACATTTTTTTTGCATATAAAAGTATTTTACTACAATTGTTGAATAAATTAATCGTTTAGTAATAATGTAATTAAATAAATTTAAACTTTAATACCAAACGACATGTAAATTAATAAAATATAATCATATATATGGTCAATTCCATGGCAAAACACGATTTTCAACCTGGCCCTCTCAGAATCTTCTAAAACTTTTATAGGAGTTTGCATATATTATAACTAAGAAAAAAAAAAATTTAGCTTCCTACTCAAACAGCGCTGGAAATGATCATAAAATCAAATCGGCATTTTTTTTTTCAAATTTTTGAACAGCTATAGGATTAATTAATTAATTTAGCAAAATCTCAAGTTGGGCCGAGCACATGTTTAGGAGATATGGTATTTTAATCATTAGTCTATTGAATATTCTTAATAAATATTTGATATTAATCAATAAAAGCTATTTATATTTATTAAAATAATATTAAAATTATAATTAACATACTATATCTATATTCTATATAAAAGTATATAATTAAAAGAGGAATTAAAAAATAAAATAATATTAAATTTGGTCGGCGTGGCTTAATGACCCATGTATAGATATACAATTGGATCGACAAATTTCGATTGATCTTCTTTGTTGTAGGTAGAAGTTCTTTTGGATAACCTGTGATTAAACGTAACCTTTGCCCTATTGTTTTGAATTTTAGGGCTTGGAGTCTAAATGATCCACAGGTGTCTAAAACTACCTGAATAAAAGATTATTAAGGTGCCTATATTTATTTGTTTTTGTATTTTCAGCTTTCGTGATGAAGTTACAGAAAAAGATCTGCATGTATAATCCCAAGCGAAAGGTATGCCTTGGTTCCAAGGGACTAACACATTCCATCAGGTCTTGTTTGATTATCAGGTCTGAGGCCAGATGTATAATCCCAAGCGAAAGGTATACCTTGGTTCCAAGGGACCAACATCATTCCATAAGGTCTGGTTTGATTATCAGGTCTGAGGCTAGAGGGTTTCAGCGTAGAGGAATATTTGTGGATATCAAGATTCTATTGATCGAATTGATGGTATAGTGCCTGGGTAATCTGTCTTTTGAAAAGCGACAGTTTGGTGGGTGGTGTCCAAGACTATCGATATGAGTTTTACATAGGACACATGATGTCGGCGTTACTATTTCACAGCCTAAACGAAGACCCATAACTATTCTAACTTCTTCTTTGGTTAGTAACAAGCTTAAATTAGAAATTGGTATAGTTTCTAACCAATCGTAACCAAGGTGGCATATGGCTGAGGCTGGAGTTATTTGATCCTTCAAAAGAGACGTATTGTCATTCTGTATACTCGGGATTGGGTTTAAGTAAAGAAAGAGCAATGGAGATTTTCTTTGAACTGCTTTAAAATGTAAGTATTCAACGCAATGGTGTATCATTGGTAAATTCCAATCTCTTTGTCTTATAGAATTTGGATATGAGCGGCATGGAGCATTTTTTTATGATGTGGATCGATAGGTCCAAGTCTCCAAGTGTATATCAAAATTTAACAACTAAAGATAAAAAGGCTGAAATTCTTAATGATATGGAGCAATGGATACCTATACTACCTAGCTTTAGTGGAAGGGCAGCTTGCATCCAGGAGAGTGATGAGAATTTGATATTTAAAATAGATTCGAGAGTATTTTTTTAAATTAACTTTAAGGTCTAATAATATTTCTGGGGACATGAAAATTGTCGATGAACGAAAGGCATGTAAAATTTTAGGAAGGAATAAATTTTTTTTGTGAATATTTAATAAAATTTATTAATAAAAATGACGACTATTGCTGTTGTATTTAATTTCAGAACTTTATGTGGGGTAAAGATATTATTGGACGTTGAATTACTTTTTATTGTCACCGTTGTTACTTACTTTTTACAAAATCATTATTATTTATTCCTTATAGTGCTTCCAAATAAGGCGTTTGTATTTATAATAATGTAAAATTTGGTAATGCGATTTTCCATATTTAGAAAAACGCAAAATTTTCATTTTATTATTTTTTATGTATATTTGCCACTTTTTAAAAAAATTACTATAAATTTTATATAATATAGGATTTAAGCTATACAACTTATTTTTAAGGTGCAATAACTCCTGGCCTAGTTTACAGACTAAGTTTTTGTAAAAATACTAAGGAGTATAATGTTTATCTGTAAAAAAATTTGAAAGAAAAAAAATATCAGTTTTCTTCTTATGGCTATTTCCGGTTTTTGATATTAAACTAATTTTCACTATATAAAATTTATCATACTAAAGAGCTATTATAGAGCTATATAAATTTAAATTATGGGTTTAGCCTAATCTCGAATAAATAATATATTTTTTTTGACATTTTTTAAAATTAAATGAAATGTATTTTCAAATTTTGGCCTTTAAAGATGGGTATATTTCAAAAAGTGAACCGATTACCAGCATATAAATTTTTTATAAAATAGAAGAGGGTTGAATTGAGAATTTAATTTTTTGGACGATTTAATATTTTATACAACATATAAATTTATATATATTTAGTATCACATCAAATTTGAAGTTTCTAAAGATATTTTATCGGTCATCCATGTAATGCGATGCTCTAGATCCTTGAAAAAGGCTATGGCATGAGCCTCAAAAGAAGTTAGCGTTGTAGCAATTATTGGTATATGAATAAATGGTTGGGAGGTAAAATAGAAGAATATTTGGTAGATTTACTTCGTTCTGCGTCGATAATAGCATCGTGATTTTAGTTGGAGGTCGCAATTGGGTCTACACAGAAGAAATCCTAGGTTAATAACTGGCCACATTTCCATGGAATCTTGGATAAACCATAAGGATATTTACCATCTGCATTACAAAATCCAATCGGTTAGGGTTGATGGATATCCAGTAGATTTCAAGGCACGAGATATAGTGTCATTTCATTTTGTATATCTTAGGATTCTACCTCTACATCGTTTACAATGTAGGGAATGGCGATCTTTTTAGTCAACGGGAGTCTGACAAAGTGAACATGGGTATGGTATAACCAAATTGCATTTAAGTCTGAGTCCAATATTGTTTACGAGTAGTAAATCAAGATTATTTGAAGGAATGGTTTCAAGAAATTCCTAAACTTTTCCCGATCAAGTTGAAAAGAGAAGGGAATGTTCCACAAGTTGACTTCTCGATTTATGAAATGCAACGGAGTTGTCACCCAGTAAGTTCCAATCTCTCTGCAATTAAGTTGAAGTAGGATCGACTAGGGAAGAATGCTTCCAATAATCGATGGCCTGAAAGTGTAAAAGATCTGGGCGAGTCATTAATTTGCTTATGATTGCGTCACATTATAAATGCGAAGTTATTAAAGCACAGACGGAGAAGGAATGTGATCATATTCCTATTCTACATGCTTTGGTGGGTAGGGTGGTCTATAGCTAATTCTCCAAATTTAAAATTCGATTTATTCAGTAATATTTTGTCTTGTTCGTAGGTAGCAAGAATGACAGGATATTGAAAAATACGTGTGGATCGTAGGATGTACGAAATCTTCGGAATTACAAGATAATTCTTTAGTAGGAAAAGGACTGGTACGCCGGGAGATGTAGTAAGATCTCATGTATTTGTTTAAGATCCTTTGTAATATCTGCAAAAGATGTTTCCATTGCCTAAGGGTGACCCAAGATATGTAAGGTTCTGTACGGTTAAACCTGAAATTATTATGAACAATGCTATTTAATATTCACTCTAAGAGAATTTATTGTTAGACATGTTTTCTTAGGATTTTATTATTCATATTGCCATGTTGACTTGGTTGGGCCAGCCGATTATTCCATATCAATATACCAAGAGTGTAAATTAAGCTTCCATTGGGTATTGATGTCTCCTATCATTTTATCCATTCCAAGACAAAAGAGGATTGGTCCAAGTAGGTCATTCTATTGGATACCTTCTAAGGATCTAATGATGGAAGTAGCTTATAACCAAAACCAGGTATGTTGGTTTGGGGTAACCGTTCTAACGAAACAGGGAAAATTCAGCATAATAAAAGTGAGCCGACTTCAGAAACGCTGCGTCTTAGGCATTAAAAGCATTTGTGCTCTTCTCTTCTCTTTGGACATCATTAGAGGGATTCATATCGGGCCATGTGAAGGGCTGCTTCGCATCCACCTTTAATGTTAATTCTTAATTGACTGGAATATTTTATGATATCAAAAATTGCATTTGACTCATTACTAATTTGACTAGTAGTTGGTCAGGTAATCACAATAGCTATAGGTCTAACATCTTTATTAGGTTTGAGCTATAAGCTTGGCCCCATATATAATCTTAGAAATATCTGAGAGAATGCCTCCTAAAGGCATACGGTGAATGCGCTGGGTTATTTTTGAAAGGATATTAGTTTGTTGAGTGATAACAGGAATCCTGAAGAAATATAGTATAGATTCCGTTGATTTCAGATAAAGAATCGCGCCTAAAAGATAGGATCACTTTCTGCCGTTGTAAATGTGGTACTACATATACTAGATTCAGAATAAATTGGAGTCTCAGTATATGTTACACGATTGGTGTTTTTGAAGTAACCCCAATTATGAATCATTGTTGTAAGGAGCCAGATTATCTTTGGATGTGGCAAGGCATATCGCAGATCTAATATTTAAGTTTTCTAGTTTGTTAGATATAAATTTTATTCTCGTTTTAGGAGCATTATGGTTTTCCTTTTTGTTTAAATTTTGTCATTTTTGAAGGATATAGGCCATCTATCTAAAGGAAGGAGAATTTTGGATATATATTTTACCTGTTGAGTATGTCATTTTTTTTACTAAAAAGGTCAGGTGCTTGTAAGGTGCGGAAAAAGTAGGATAAAAAGTCAGTCCATTGGGTGACTGATTAGAAAATTATTAAGCTTAGATGTTAGATTATTTGAATAAGTTCTTGCTATTACACCTTTGGGTATGTGAGATAAGATGTTATCTTGTGGGTAATAAAAAATGACTATAGCATTGGAGTCAGTATGAATATCTTAAACGGTAATTAATGGTGCACATAGCTGTAAAGTAGTAGTCGAATCATGCTTAGTTTTGAGCGCTATGAATGAAATGGGTATAGGTGGGAAGGATACTACAAACCTTCTCGATTGGGCATTTAATTTTTTTAGTATTATGAATATCAGGAGGCCAACTTCATTATCTGAAACATTTCGAATGGGCATGTGATATTTTTTAGTGATTAGAATATCCAGAGATGTGACGCCTAAGGATAAGAAATAATGTAATATCGCGATAATTGAAACATTCTGAAAGGCTAATGCGAAATGTAAAAGCACGATTATTGAAGCAAGCTATAAGAAAAAAGAATGCAGAATATTTCCAATATCCAATAAGAATCGAATGAATTAAGAGAAAATAGCCAACGAATAATTAATATAATATAAATGAATATCCAACTGATTACAAATGATAACTCCAAATTTACCAATAACATCATTGGCAAGTTTTATTATATACAATTAGTCGCGAATGGATATATAATAATACAATTCAGCGATAAATAAAGCTGAATAACAAATGCGAAATATAAAAGTGCGATAATTTTAACTGAAGGAAAAATGAATACACAATACTTCCAATAAGAATCTAATGAATTAGTATGCAAAAATAACAAAGAATAATAAAATCAAAATAATATCAAGCAAAACGCGAGAAAGAGGTTCAATATAAAAGGTTTTTTGGTTAAAAAATGTGAACTTAGAACTATTTCAACTTCCAATTTTTTTAAAAATTTAATAATTGAAAAATCAATTCTATATATATATTTAACTTATCAGATAAAAATATTTTAAAAACTTAAATATATAAAACTTAAAAATAAAAACTAAACTAAAAATTCCCAAATAATAATTAAAGAAAATAATTGAATTTCTATATTTTATTATAAATCATCATCATTAAACTGCAAATTTATAATGATTCCGAATATACATAATAATTTATATTTTTTTTTAAAATTTACAAAATTAATTTTATTTAATAAAATGAAAAAAAATATTAAAAAATATTGTATATCCGCTTTAATGAGGATTTTAAATATGTAAATATATTTATTTATTGATTAAAAATGCTCGATTAGCTAGTTACAATCTTTGCTCAGAAACGGGAAGTTTTTATCAACAATATTATTTTTTTTAATTTTTGTAAATTCGGGGAAGAATGATCAAAAATGAGGAGAAAAAAAATGAGAAAAGTAGGAAAAAATATAGATTAAAAATGACTTTAAAGAAATCGCCAAAAGTTAGAAATAAAATAAGAAGGAAAAATAAAATAACTAAAAATTTAAGAACAATGGGAATATACCTCTTTTGATTGAAACTTTTCTTTTCTTTTAGGATTTTTTCTTTTCTTTTGGGATTTTTCCTTTTTTTGATTGGCGCTTTTCCTTTTTTTGATTGGCGCTTTTCCTTTTTTGATTGGACCTTTTCCTTTTTTGATCGGATGACTTTTTCCTAAGCCTTTGAAACTTGTCATTTTTAGTTTGAACCTTTTCCTTTTTTGATTTACAATTGTCCCTTTTTAGTATTTTTCCTTTTTTTGAATGGAAAACCCTGTAATAGCCATAATAATTTATTTATAGTTAAACAAATGAACAAATAATTTTACCTACTTGCAAAATAAATCACTTTTTTTAAATGGTAAAAATGACATAAATAAATGCCTTTAATAGATTATACAGGTTGAATCATGAATGTATTGTTAAATGGAATTTTATCCAAATACACTTTCACATCACAAATACATATAATAGATCGGAATTATTAAATTTTAAAACCTATTTTTCGCAATATACCAAGGAAACCGAGATGCTACTTCCAATATCAGGATTCGTAAACGTGTCATCAATGGTCCGCCATAGCGCCACCCAAATGAACTCAGTCGATACTCCTATATATTCTCCTAGGGATATAGTTATAAATTCGGTTACCCGCCAGTTTTTTTGGTCTTGCTTAGTTACCCATTCTATCATGGCGTCTTGGCTTGATGACGGTTCATTGATAGGAGCCATTTTGTCTGGTCCAGATATTTTCCCAATGGCGTTGACTATAGATTCACAATCAAGGTTTTGAATTTTTTTTCCATAAACTTTAATTTTATATATACACAAGTTAATCTCTTTCGTAGAAATCTGCGCACCCAGGGCTTTAAAGAATCGGGGGGGGGGGGGTCACCTTTTTTAAAAAAATTTTGGTTCTGAATATTTAATTTTTTTTAAACCTTGAATAATGAAAAAAAATATTATCTCAAAAAATATCTACCGACCGGGCAATTTATTTAAATTATTTCGGGTGGTGGCTAAGAATATCGCAGGCCTGGCTGGAAAATCTTTTTGTAAAAATTAAATATTAGTAATTGTGATGACTAATCAATTTATTTTGTCAAATATTTTTTATAAGATGTACCATTTCTTTTAATTTTGGCAAATGATTGATATTTTCACTTACAACATGAATAATTTTTTAAATTATAATAAATACGTTATGAAAAACAAAAAATGATCAATATGAAATTTTATAAATTTTTTTATACACTTATCATTTTAGTTATGTTCTCCTATAAAAATCTCTTATAATACTACCTCTTTCAAAGCCTCCCCACATTGTTTGTCCCTTATAAATCTTTACTTGTAAATTATAACAAAGCAAAAAAATCGTTATTATATTTTTTTACTTAAAACTATTATTCTTACCTTTGTTTTACATCATTGTAAATTATAAACAGAGCTTGTTTTTATGTTTTATTCACTTGAAACTGGTCCTAGCCAGTTTTAAGGATGACCAATATGATAAAATCCTTATAGAAATATGTCGATGGATTTTTTTTTGTAAACAAAATTTTTAGGGGATCATTAAATAATTATGATTTTGTTTTATTATCATCAAATTTTATACCTAATTGTTACGGCTAAAAGTCTAGATTCAATAAATTCACGATTTTTTTAATAAAATCTTGTTTGTACGATGACCAAAGTGCCCGTGAAGTCCGGGATTCCAGTCACTCTCAGACAATCCCGGACCATCGAACTCCGTCGACCCCCCCCCCCCCCCGATGGTAGAACAGCCAATAATCGTGGCTCCAACCATTACAATTATTATCGATGTTGAGAATAAAGTTGGCACCAGACCGAATTTCTTTATAAATATAAAAGAGGAGTCTAGTAATGTTTTTTATAAAAATTGAAGGTAGTATTATTTCCAAAAAATAGTTCTTAATTTTTATATATTAAATAAAATGGCCGGAATTAAAAAAAAGTAAAAAGATCTTTTCATTTTAATACTAAATCTGTTATTTACAATTATATAGTTATTGAGATATGATTAAATGAATGAAGGCAGATAGTTGTAAAATACTTCATTTTTGCCACTTTGACCCCTTATATTTCCAAAGATATAAATGTTGGGAGGCTAAAATTTTGTTAATTCTTAGTCATATTAACCTTTCTTTGCTTACTAAATTTTAAATAATCGAAGTGAGTCGGCAAAAATCTCATTTTTTGCTTATTCTTTACAATAAATATTTTTTAAAAAATATACTTTTAGGATTACACCAATTTTTTTTTACATTCAATTTATCTATACATTAAACAAAATTTTATTCCTTTTTATATTTTCTAGAGAACTGCAAAGTAATTTTTCGCAACCCGAGCCCGAATTTAAAAATTTTTTTGTCCGAGCCCGACCCGAGCCCGAGCACACATTTTTTAGTCCAACCCGACCCGAGCCCGACCCGAATAAAATTTTGCAATAAGTTTTAATATTATAATAACCAAAAAAAAATTTATGTGTATTTATTCAGTTCAGCCACCTTAAATAAAAGTTTATTTGACGGCCATAATCTATTCATGATATATATTAAGTTGCATTTTATTAAATTTGTAAAAAATATTATAAAACGATTAATATACAAGCGAATTTAAAAATTATAACGATTATATAATATAATAAGCATCATTTATGCGAATATAGATATGATATAAAAGTTAATAAATATATAAAAAATATAATGAACATATTATATTATATTGACCTCATCAATATCATTATCAAAATTATCAAGTGAATAATTATGATATATAAATAAAGAGGCGTCCAGTTTATCTGGCTTTAAACGAGTCCTTCTCTCCTCAAAGGCCCTACCGTCAGCTGAAAACGCCCTTTCACTGCTAGCCGACGAAGCAGGGATAGCCAGGAATTTAAGAGCTAAAATACTTAAATTTGGAAACTCATAATGGTTTGTTTTCCACCATTTTAAAATATTATCGTCATCAATACATAATTTCGGATCTAGGTATTTTTTTAGCTCGTCAACTTCGGCGCTAGCATCAGAATACGCATTGTCAGCCTCCCATAGAGAGAAGTCCAAAAACGTATCTACCACCTCTGTAGTTTCTTAAGAAAAAAATATTCATTAATAATATTAAGATATATATTTACTTTATTATTTTTTAATAAATAATTTTATTATAATTTAATAAACCTTTATTTACTACTCTATCGGTTGAGCACGAGTTAGATGGTGAGTTGTTTAAAGACTTTTGCTCAATCACATCTCTGTTGATTTTCTCTGCATTAATCAACGTGTTGATATGTTGACACAAATATTTATAATGTTCCCGGGATAACATTTTCATATCCCGAAATTTTGGGAACAAAAACGTCGAAATTTGGTGGAATAAATCTATTTTAAATTTATCCACCAATATTTCCCGGCATCTTAATGAAAGCTGGTTTAGCTGATCGTTTAAGCTAGGATTAGCTAAAAAACTCAATATTTTATGATAACATAAAATAACTTTGTTGAATAGTAGGTTTTAAATCACTCTCAAGTTCATCACTCGCAATTTTAAAAGGCGTCAGAAACTTGATCAGATCCCTCATCATTTCAAAATCAATATTTTCAAGTCTAATCGACTCTCCTCTGGAATTGAGGATTTCCAATATGTCATTAAATTGATTAAAGATCGATTCAATCATATTCAACCTACTATTCCACCTAGTCTCAACACACATGTGGAGAGTTTTATCGAGGCGATTAACTAATCTAAAATGTAATGATATATTTTAATAAAAAGTTAATTTAACATACCCACTCTTGCAGTCATTAAAACATTGATTTATCTCCGAATAAGATTCAATATTTTTGTTATCAAAAGTATTTCTCAATACTGTATATAATAGATGAGAAGTACAATTTAAACGCTTATGATTTTCAAAAGCTTTAATCATATTAGCTCTTGGTCGGTAATAATTGGAATTTCCGATAAATAGGCCCTGTTGTATCCTGATACAAAGAATACATGGATTTTTATAAATATTTTTAATGAAATCAATACCTAACAAGGTGAAATTTCTAATAATTTCCTTTTTGATATTTTCCCTGTCTTTTTTTCCTCTTCAAATTTGCATGTAAACAATACAATTTTATTTAGTTTCCAGGAATCATTTATAAAATGAATTGTTAGAGTTACATATGATATTTTTTTATAATCATCAGCCCAAAGGTCTGTGGTGGCTATAAAAAATTATTAATAATTTAACCATATTTTCATAAATTTGTTACCAGCACATCGACCCTTTTTCATATATGAGTTTAATATAGGAAATAATTTATTGCGGATACCATCAGCAGTATCTACTAAATTTCTAGAAATTGTCGTAGGATTTGGAATGATGCTTTTAACATCAATATTTCCAAATATTGAACCAATTTTGGCAACAATCAACAAAGCCTTCCCTATGAATTGTATCAAATGATCTCAAATCATGTCCACAAAACATAGTAAGCACCTTTGTGCACTCTTTTTTCAATTTTGTACAACTTTTGAGTTTTTTCGGATCAGTACCAAAAAGACTATCAATTGTTAATTGTGGCTTTGCTGTTGTACTTGTATTTGTATATACATATTTATGTCTTTTAAGTTGATTTGTGCCTAAAATAATTTAATAAGATCATATTTTATGTATAAATATCTAACCTGTTGTTATTGAATAATATACATAAATAAATTTGCATATAATACAAATGACATAATTAAGCATTTCTTTATTTTCTTCATACATAAATGAAAATTTTTTTCATACATCGGATTTCCCATTAAGATTCCCCCTTACTTCATACTCTTTTGTCTTAATCTTTTTACCAATTCTTTTTAATTTTGCATCCATTGAGATAATTTTTTTAATATGGCTGTGTCTAAAATCTAAAAAAAAATATTTAAAATGACTTTAATCAATTAGATTGAAATAAACAGATGGACAGTACTGCGAATACTTGTATCTAAGATACAATATACAAGATCCCTTTATATCTTGTACTCAGTATATTTTGACATTTTTAATAAGATACTAATATTTGTATCTAAGATCCTTAATTCTGAAAAGAATCTTGTATATTTTTCATTTTCTGGACAAAAGATACAGATACAGATTCTTTTTAATATTCATGTTTTAAATTTTACATATCACAGTATACATCTTATTTTCTTTGAGAATCTTGTATTAATTTCCTAATTTTTTTCTACCATATTTTAAAATATTGACAACCAAAATTAGCTGGAAAATTTACAACTCATATTAAGGTAGATAGATAAAAAAATAATAATACCAAAACGAAATAAGTAAGATTATATTTTATATATAAATGTAACTTAGAATATCATTACCAATTTTATATAATATTTTTTAATTTCTAGGATGATTAACATTTATGGTAGTGAAATTTAAATTATAGAAATAAGTTCCCCTGAATCAAATCCCAATCTTAAATTTTATATGGAAATTTTTTAAAACAAATGTTAAAAAAGACAATGTATAGGCTAGATAAATAATAAATAATGAATAAAACTTATCTTTAGTACATAAAATATGTCTTATCTTGTAATTCACGGGAAACACACAATTTAGTGATAAAATAGTTTGGTATCCGGTTGTTAGGTTTATAAAATAATAATTAATAATGACATGACATGACATGTAAATATGATTGACATTTTAATCCTAAAATGTGATAAATATTAAATAATATGATTTTATAATTAATATTATAAATTATACTGACTATTTAGGATATTAATATTATTTTTTATTTTCGGGTCGGGTCGGGCTCGGACAGCCCGTGCAGTTCTCTAATATCTTCTACAATTCAATTTAAATCTATAAATGATACATTATTTCTTTTAACAGCATTTGCAAATTTTTTATAATTCACACCTTCTTTTGACAACATTAAATCTTTTCCTTTCTCCCTATAATTTTTCATCCTTTTTTAATTTACATTTCTAAATTTTTTTATTGTAATTTACAAATCATTTTCGTTTATATTCTAAAAAATTTCATTTTAATTTGTAAACTCCTTTTTTCCATTCTCCGTTTTCTCCTTAGATCTTTTCCAATCTTCCTTCTATTTCTTATATTTAATATATTATATATTTTACGAAAACAATTTTTTTTATTTATTTATTCCTTTTATCAGTGAACGTTTAATAGTTAGTATATAATATTGTTAACCCAGATATTGTCCTTTACTTTAACACCACTTATTCAATGTAAAAACCGTCTCAACATTTACTCATAAAAATATCCACATATTAAAACACCATCGCTGTAGTATATCTATATTCATAAAAATATCCACATATAAAAAAACATCGCTGTAGTATATATCAATAATAAGATAAATAGTATAAACAATGAACTTACATTTAAATCTAAATATCTTTCTACAGGTCAATGTTCATAATAGTCACTATATTTATTTTTCTACCCATAAAATTTCTAAAAGATTTTCTTTTCTCAAGCCATATACTCTGTAAGCCCCCTCTTCAATTATTAATCTCATCTCAACTCATCATTTACCAAGTTCTAACTAATCTAATTATATTAATTCAATGTTTTTACTTGTCAATTTAATTTTATTAAATTGCAAAAAAGCCATATATTCTGGATAAATTCCCCGAATTATCATTCTCACTCTCATCACCCCATGACTATCGAGAGGGCAGTTTCCGATGGCACTCGACGCACAACTATTGTTATTGCTGGACGCTCGGCCCAATTTGAGGCATTGCATTATGACTCAATCACAGATAAACTTTATTGGTCCGACCCGAGACGTCTCCGCCTTGAGTCAAGTGATTCATTTGGTGGAAACCGTCAAGTTCTCGTAGGGGACTCTGCTCCGCGTGGAATCGCCACAACTTTAAACGGTCAATTATTTTGTCTCGAACAAAATCCGCCTCGCATAGAGCGGAGAACTCAAGATAACGCACGCGTCAAAATGTTTAGTGAGTCTTTGTTCGGGGTTACCGCCCTTCATGATTCTACGCGAATCTTGGCTTTAGATGGGAGCCCTATTGCAGTAATAATTTATATAAATTATTATAAAATATCTTCGTTTATTAAATTATTTGTAAAAATTCATTTAGTTATTAAGAACAGTTTTCCTAACTTTATTTCTTGTAATCATTAAAACTGGGTATATGTTTTAAAAAAGCTAACTATAGGAATATAATTGCACTTAGTCTGGTAGCTAGCATACTAATTTGTTGTGTGTTAAAAGGAATAGGTTTAATTTACTAGAATAGGCTTCTAGACATATATGGCCAATTTTATCAAATACTAAAGGATGAAACTTTGAGCTGCTCGAGGTCATTGCTTGAGAGTCGACGGAGCGGTACACTGTCTGCATCCCAATCCTTTTTGGATAATCTAAGCCACTGTACTATTACCCACTGGATTTCGGTGGGTCTGCTTTATTTGAAGATGGGTTCCCAGTTAGTTAAGGAGGACTATATGAATGATACAATTGTCAAGAGCATTGGGGAGCGTATACCTTGTTCTCCTGATTTAGTTGGGTAATTAGGTGTTTACCAAAATGAAATTAAGATGTTCTCCGTAGATTTAATTTCGTAATTTAGGAATTGGGAAGCCAAATTGTATTTAGGGAGCATTAATTTAACTAAATAAAATGCCTGAAAGGCAAGTGCTTGACAAATTGCTATGTTTTTTTCAATAAAATCTTTTATTCTGGCCAATCCCCCTATTGGATATGAATTTAACAAAATTTCATAAATCTTTCATTTCTTCTTTTTATTTGGGCAGTATTGTTTTTAAAAAAAATTCTTTTCTCCCCCGATGATTCTTTTTCGATATTTTGATACATTGATCTGGATTCATTCCGATTTAAAAAGAGATTAAAATATATTATTAGCTCGATTCCAATCAAAATTGAGATTAAATACTACAGCATAGGCTGCCATACCTTTTTAAAAACAAAGTGACATTTTGACCAAGCTCTATAGTTGACTCATCCAAAAATATAATTTTTTTCTCACAAATTAAATTATTGATTTTTGCAATATTAAAATTGGTAATAATGAATAGCTAGCCCAGCTGAAATCGGTAATTCTCAAACATCCATGTTCTTACGTAAATTACAATGGAAATTGTTCGGACTTATGCACCGCTACGCATGATTTTAGTCATTCAACTCTCATTTCTTCCGCTCATTGCAGCTGCCCGCTTCGCAAAGTTCGCTCTCAATATTTAAAATGATTTATTTCAAATTATAAATAATTTCTTAAAACAATATAAAGCTCAAATTTTAGCTATCGAGCTTATTTAATTAAAATGAACTTGCATTAATGTCAGGAATGGTTTTTGGACCTAAGATTCTAGGATCCGACTCGCTTTTCCCATTTAACAACACAAATTTACAGCGGTTTGATATTTGTAAAAAAATTAACGCTTAAAGTATAACATATAAAAAACAGGTTTTTCGACTCACTAATGATACGGCTGCAAGCAATATGCCTCGGCGTGTTTGCGAACCAGAACCTGCGTCATGCCCGCTAGATGAGTGGCGTTGCCTCGCGGGACGTGTTGATTGCGTTCCTCGATCCTGGATTTGCGATGGCACCCCTGATTGCCGTGACGCGTCGGATGAAGTCAACTGTATTAACATACGCAATGGAAAATCATACTCCTTTGCTTTCACATCTGCCTTTGATTGTTCCTTGTATGGTGGCTTGAAGAGTGACCTATTTAAATGCTTGATGCGTGGAAATCGTGTTGGTGAAGCAAATTTATGCGTCAAAGTACGGGCTCGATGCGATAACATAGCTGACTGCCCCGACGCAAGTGATGAGGCAAATTGCGGAAACAAGGGTGACTTTTCACTCTTTATAAGAGATAGGAAGGGAAGTTCAAAGGAAAGGGCAGAAAAACGACCCACACATGGTAACGATAATACATTTTATATTCGCCCTAATGAAGTACTGATCCACTTTTCAAGTGTAACCGATGGGCCCAATTCTAGGCCTATTCCCCCCCCCCCCCCAAATTTTTTTTTAGATTTAAATACCTTACTTAAAGGGATTGAAGATAGGTAAATTAATAATAAATTAATCAATATTTAATAATTCTAGGTTTATTGGGACAATTTTTGAAGATGAAAATATTTTGGCAACTATGCTTCATCTTTTTTTTAAACTAGATTGGACATGGTTACAAATGGATGAAAATTTAATAAAAATAACAATTAATACAAAGATTAGTAGAGGATATCAAAGTCTTCAAATGAGTGCAAATTAACCTGTTCCGATTTTTTTATTAGTATCCCACAGCAGGAGATATGATTGTTAATGATTTAAATTCTGATAATCAACAAATTTTAAATAGTGTTTTCAAAAATGAATGCCGAGATTTTAGTATTTTTAAACAATATCCTGAGATAAACGAGAAATTTTGAAAATATTTTGTTACTGATATATTATTTATATATATCTAAAAATCATTATTTTAATTATATTTTGATAAATGTGATATCGAGTCAATAAATTTTTTAGACCATTTCATGAATTTTCACAATAGAATCCTTTAGGTTTATTCAAACCTTATCTATAATAAAAAATGTATCTGTACCTAGATACATTTTAAATTGTATCTGTATCAAGATAACTTTTTAGAAGCTGTATCTATATCTAGATAAATTTTTAGACCTGTATCTGTATTTAGATCCATTTAAAAAGTATCTTTTAACACATAAAATTGGAAATGATATTCTATCGAGCTACATTTATATATAAAACATATTCTTTACTTATTTCGTTTTGGTATTGTTTTTTTTATCTAGCTATTTTAATATCAGTTGTCAATATTCAGGCCAATTTTAGTTGTCAATATTTTTAAAATATGGCGATAGATCATAAGAAAATTAATACAAGATTCCACAAAGAAAATAAGGTATTTTATAATATGTAAATTTTTCAAACATTAATATTAGAAAGAATCTGTATCTTTTGTCAGGAAAATGAAAATGATACAAGATTCTTTTCAGAATAAAGGATCTTAGATACAGATACTAGTATCATATTAAAAATGTCAAAAAGATACTGAGTACAAGATATATATGAATCTTGTATCTTAAATACAAGTATTCGCGGTACTGCTCAAATCTCTGCATTACTACGAAACTCTGGACACATCTCAAATTTGCATTCAGTTATAATTTGAAATGTTATTGTTCATGTATAATTTTTTTACTCCTTTGCTTAGACTAGAAGAGAACATGACAATTTTTATTTAAACATTATAGAGGTATCGAGACCAGCCTCTACATGACAAAATTTTCACTGGATGCAAACCCCCTTCAAAAACCTATGCCTACCTCCCTAAAAAATTTTCACCATCTTCGGCAGCTATATTTCCACATTATAAATTACACCTTTTTAATTATAATTGTACTCCCTTCATAAATTTTTATGTTGCTCTACTACTAACTATTAAAATATTGTGAATATAAAAAAGTTATTTTTTAGAACAAGAATTCAATTAAAACCCCCTCATTTACAATGAATGCATTATTATAGTATATTGTTTGGCATGAATATGAGTTTGCTGATAATGTCTAACCCTTGATAGCAGAAAGTTTTATTTAGAAATAATGTCTCTGATTGTATACAAGTCGATGATTAGCATTATCATTGTATTATAATAGGTCTATAATAAAAGTTTAATTTTTACAGCAATATATTTTGCCCTATTTCATCTAAAAATTTAATAGGTAACCCCCCAATAAATTTATCCTACCACCCTTAAAGGCGCCTACACCCTACCCCTTTAAAAATTAGATGCAAACTGTTGATAACTCCCTCCCCCGCTCATGTAGACGCTGATTAAGGTAAATAATACTTTCGTAGTGGGCTTTTTTTATTCCTTGCGAAGTCCGTTGTTTATATTTAGATGGATTACTCACATTACCAATAATCCTATTTAGTAACAAATACAAATGATTTGAATATTCAAAATTTATTCAAATAATTTGTTTTATTCTGATTAATGATTATTATGGCTTTTAATAAAATTTAATCATTTGTTTTTTCCATTGGCCTATCAATCTGACTGCTGATACGATTAACAAGTTATACATAAACTGCTTGTGAAAAGGTTTTCTTAGTTAAAACCTAATTGCTCTCAAGTCTAAACATAAGAAACTCTGCCTCAAAATTTTGTTATATATTAAATTAATAAGCATTTTAATTTCGTTAATAATTTGATCGCATGCTTTTTATCATCAGATTATTATTGTAATAACTATCTATTTAAAATTTGATGCGCAATAAAAAAAAGTCTATCATATTTTCTTTTGAATTATTTTATAGTATATTATAAAATTTTTTATTATTCATATGAATACGATGTTTTTGAATAGGCCTAATTAAAAATAATATCTTATTTTTTAGAAATATATTCTTATAAAGATTATATTCCTTCGAGAGAAATGAAAAAAAAAACATATCCAAAATTATATTATAATGTAACTTTTAACACAAACAAGATAATACATCATCATCCAAAAGGCCTCCTTCCTCGGCTCAGAGCGAAAAACGTTACGCCATTAGCTTTATAGGCGCCCTGAGCTTGCTTCTTCTTTTCGCCATGATTTATGCTTCACTTAAACACAAATGCGCTGATCGGGATAATTTAACTTATCCCCACATGCCTGATATATTCAATCACGCTAAGACTACTAGAAATCAAACCGGCGGGATTGCTAACAATACTCTGGAGACCACTTTAGATCACATAAACAATCAAAATAACAATAATAATCCCGAAAATCATTCTTTATTAGGCAGTTTAAGTCAAAATTTGATGAGAAGGGTGTCTCATTACGATAGCCATTATAGCGCCCCCAAAATTATATCTGGTTATAACGATGATGGCCTGGACAACACCCGACCTATTGGCAGTGTTAACACTTTTTTTTACGACGATACAAGTAATTGGTTGTTTCTATATTTTTATGCAATTCCTACATAAAAAATTAACGGTCCAGACATACATAAAAAATAGGTCCTGGCCTCGCAAATCACTGATTTTGAATTTGATTAATATTCTTTTAATAAAAAAATGTATTCCTCCTTTTATTAAAAATTATAGTCCGGGCCGGACATTTCGTAAAATTATAATGGGCTAGCCCGGATCATACAATTTTAAGGGGCTAGTAAATTAGTAAAAAAAATTATGGGCGCGAAAGAACCCCACAAACATTTTTTAATAACGGGCCAACCTATGTATAAAATCTTAACGAGCCAGGTAGATCTCTGTTACATATATTTATATAATAATAAAATATTTTTTGTTTGAGGAGATTGTTTTACTCTCTATGTTTTATGATTCTCCGAAATATTAAAAATAAATGGTCTTAAAGCAGAAGACAAATGGGTTCTATTTAATCATAATAACTATAAATGGCTATACTTAATAATATGCGAACATGTATTTTCCCTACCTCATTCGGATGCCTCATCAGAGATTTTTAACCTGATGAGGACTTCAAAGAAGGAAATAGGTTCCTCTGATAACATTAGAGGCCAACTTATGGTTAAACAAAATTATAATATGCCCTGCAATCAATTTTATAAATTTCTTAATAACGACGGAAAATTTGTGAATCCAAAATTTAAATTATTAATTTAATTAATATTATAAATAAAAACTATTCATTATTAGAATCTATAAAATTTTTTATTAAACGTTATTTATACTATTCGCGTAAAATTTATATTTTTTGCTCACAATTTTTTACATTGTAAAATAAAGATTTGGTTCTGATGTAAGGGCTCTTATTTTGCCACCTATATTTTTAAAAAAAAGTTTTGCTTGACATTTGTCCAAGGGAAGAGATAACGATTGGTATAAAAAACATATTTTGTTAATTTAGAAAATTTTTTCCTCGGCTATATCAACAGGATTGAATAAGACATTGCTAATTTTGAAAAATAAAATGATACTGATTTTATTAGTCCGCGGACCGGGCAAAAAGATTTACTGATTGGGCTGGGCAAATTGTCATGGATTCCAGTTGTAGTTTCGTTTCTAGTTTTGTCTTCCACGCAAATGGTATCAGTCTGCTTTTAAGATATTTAAAGTTGGGGTTGGGTTTTACCTATAAACTCGCGTTAAACTCTTTCAGTAAACTAATTTCTTAGTAAATAATGAAGAAATTTATTTTCAATATTATCCCCCCAAACCCCATTCAATTCATACATTATTTGTTAATTAAATTTCTACCTATCAAATTAATACCATTGTTTACAATTATAAATTCATGATATATAATTTTATTTTTATAATTAATGGGTAATATACATATACCTAGAATATCAACATTACATTATTATAAGATTTTAAAATAATATCCATTTTTGTTACTGGTATTTTTAAACGCTAAACGTCTTCTATATTCAAAATGGAGACTGCCTAATCTGTGTCAATAAAAAATTTATATATATTTTATCTATCAATAATTTCACCTCAAATTTTTCACGTTCCTTTTCTGGGACATCTATAGTTCGAATATATTCTTTCTTAGCACGATTCCTTCTGGATACTTTCTGTAAATGTGCTTATACATAGTTATGACAAATTGTATTTAAATTTGGGCATTTTGGTTTTATATGATTTTCTAATCCATAACAATGACAAATAATTTTTGGTACTTTTTTGTTTGTCTGACTCTCCCATGTCACTGTTTTTGCAATTATTTATCTCCTTTCCTGCAGATAATTTTTCATACGAACATTTCCGTTGTCTCCATTGCGATAGCGATTTGTACAGCCCTTTCCCATGTCAAGTTTCATTAGTAATTCCCGACACTTATTTATCCCGCAATACTGTATCATACATCTCTTTAAAATCACACGTATTTGCTTTTATCTTTAATTTATTTATATATTCTGTAATCGTTTCTTCTTTTTCTTGTTCCGTTTTAAAAAAATAATATCTCTCTAGCATAATATTCATTTTCTTTTAGTAATAATTTTTTAAAAGTTTAATTATGTCATCATAGGATATTTTATCTAATGTCTTTGGCAAACATAAAGTAAATCTAACATAAAGTAAATAATTTTAAATAAACCTCTAGTCCAATATTTGCTAATTAAAACTATTTTTTGTCTTCTATTTTGGCAATTTTATAAATGAATTTCATCTTTGATAAATAACTTCCATCTCGCATCTTTATATTAAATTTCTCCATTTGAAACTGCGCCAATGACATAAATTTATTATATTTTTAACTATCTTAATATATTTTATACTTCAGTTTATATACTTTTACAAATCAATCTAAATACATCAATTAATCATACACGATTTAGTTTTCTGATCTCATAATGGAGTTGGCAGAAAAAGATTTGGCAAAAAGACCTGAACAAAGATACACCTTAATTCCAGGAGATTAGGGTCATCCCATCTTTATTTATATTATATTTTAAAAAGTGTAATAAATTAAATACCACCGATATCTATACAAATTAATATATAAATATGCTTCATTTTCTATGGACTGTATTTTCTTTAACAAGATTTTATTCCTTGATGTTTCCTTCTACATATTTTGGTATATGGATCTATAATTCATTCAGATATCGAAGGTCTATCAATGTTTATGAACATTAATTTTGACAAATTACTTAAACTCGTTCGTTATCTGCCATGATCAAATTAGAATAAAGTATCCACACAGTTAAGGAATTTTTTATTATTAGGAATATCTTCATCGATATATTGTTGAGGCTCATTATTATTCATTTAATTTGAATTTTTATATCTGCTTTTCTCCAAATCGCGCATCTAGGTTCTTAGGCCAATTTATTTTTTTAATAAAGTATATATCGGAAAGAATTTCTAATATAAAAAAAAAATTTTAAGTCATTTTATCCTCATTTTAATGCTGGATGCTTTCTAGAGATATTATAAATTGGTCTATTTTTTATATTTTTTTGATTGTATATTTTTAAATAAAAGTGGAATTTCTGAATTGAGCGACATCTATAAATATTAACATACTACAGCGTCTACATGAGAGAGGAGGTAGGAGCAATTTGCCTCCAGTTTTTTTAAAGTGAGGTAGGATAAAATAAAAATAAACAATATTTGTAGACTAAATATAAAAATAACTGATAAATTTAAATTTATTAATAAATTTTTATTTGTCATTCATTCACAAATAACATTGGTGCAGTTTGATGTTATACACGCTCGTGGCTAATATTTTGAATACGGTAACTAGTTAATTATCACAAATGATTAATTCCTGATCTAAATAATTAACTAGCCTGTTGAGTGATTTTGAGGTTAAAAATGGTGGCTCATTATACAATTCATCATAAGGCTGTTGGAGTAAAATGGGTGTGTAAATATCGGAACCGATGGGCATCAAATTATTTAGTAGGGTGGGGGTAGATTGATTTGGGGGGGGGTTTACTTCCAATGAATTTTCTATTATGTAGACATTATTGTCATTATGTTCCTTTATCTGTCAATCAATAAAAAAATGATTAATTAACAAAAGGACACCGAAGAGACCTAATAAAAAGGTATCCCAATTTATTATTTCTTTTGCAAAGTATTGATTTATCCCAACAACTAACAACCTACCCATTATCCTAACAACATACAACCTACCCATTTGAAAATTTTAAATTCCTATTAAAACATTTAAAAGATTTTGTTAAAATTAGACTATTTCTTACATTATTGTTAAATCGGCTATATGTAAATCCGAACAGTCGAAAAAAATTGCTAAGCCTTGAGGCAAGAATATGTTTTCAAGATTGAGACATCATTTAAGTTTAAACCTAGATATTGGCTAAAATGATAGTTTTCGCTTAAAAATTTAGTTTGCAGAGTTATCCTAAAACCTGAAAAAACTGGGCTATTTATCACCACTGCTTGTTGGTGACGAACCTCACATCACGCTGGCCGCTTAAGACTCGATCAGCAAAACGAAAATAACTAAAAATGAAGACAAAAATTTATTTTTTAATTTTTTTTACAATTTTATAATAAAAAAATATCAATTAAAAAATTTACAATTTCGCTTCCCTTTTATAGGGAAACGAATAATAATTAAAAAAATAATTAAAAATTAACAATCTAAAAATATCTTCTTTTACAATTATAAAGTACCTACTCATGCCTCAAATTTTAAATTATAAGATACAAATACATTTTTAGAAATTATAAATTATCGCATTATAATGACTTTACAATAATCAACTTTTATAAATCTAAAAATAAAATGTTAACGCGATTAAACTAAAACATAAAATTATAAAAATAAAAATGACTCACCAATTAAACTAAAACATATAATTATAAAAATAAAAATGACTCACCGAACTCAATACATGATTTTACAAATCAAAATCCCAATTATGACACCTCCCTCTTTTAACTAATCCTTGAGACCCCAACCCCCTTGAACACCTCTAGGAATTCTTTTTTCACCAGCCTTCGCCCTGTTGTTGTTGTAAGTGGACCCCTTTGACCATTGTTTTTTTCCGAACATACTTCATAATTACCATTCCTCTATGAGTAACGTAAACCTAAATTCCTTTTTATTTATTTCATTACAAAAAATATTTCTGATTTCCAGTGTAAATACTTTCCCCCTTCTGCAAAAATGCTGAAAAGACTCCACCATCTCCAGTAACACACGCTGCAAATACTCATCCACTTCCCATACTGAGTCATTCCATGACAAATCAACCACGATTCGGCCGACCCCCTTCGATTTTTTTAAAATTTGTTAAGCAAAGAAAGGTCAATGTAACTAAGAAATAGCCAAAATTTTAGCCTCCTAACATGTATATTTTTGAAGATATTAGGGTTCAAAGTGGCAAAAATGACGTATTTTTACCATTATCTGCCTTCATTCAATTAAGCATATCTTAAAAACTACATAATTGTAAATAACAAATTTAATATCAA